GGCCTGCAACCGAGACACGTGCCCTTGGCCAGAGCTGAACCCGGGGCCCTTCCGTCCAGGGGCTGACGCTCTAACCACTGAGCCAAACCGGCCAGGGCGGTGCAGCATAGTTTTAATAAAAATTTTATTTTATTTTAATTTTTTAAAAATATGTCTTTATTGATTTCAGAGAGAGGAAGGGAGAGGGAGAGAGAGAAACATCAATGATGAGAGTCATGGATCGGCTGCCTCCTGCAGGCCCCCGACTGGGGATCGAGCCTGCACCCCGGGCCTGTGCCCTGACCGGGAGCCGAACCCCGATCGTCTGGCTCCTAGGTCGACGCTCAACCGCTGAGCCGCGCTGGCCGGCTTAATAAAAATTTTAAATGTTGCTGCTCACAGGTCCTCTCAGGTGTTGCCCTGAGTTTTACCTCACTTCTGCCATTTCGCCCCTCAATAGTCGTCGTCGGGAAAGTGTCCCTCTTGGGCCAAAGCCTGTGCCAGGGTGGGCTCTGGGTCACTGTTGCCTTTAAAATCAATCACGCTCTTCCCGGAAAATGCACCGCTGTTATCACGGCAGGAATCGGGGGAGAAAGTGGCCGCGGTGGTGGGTGTGGGGTCCTCAGGCGGCAGGTGGAGGGAGCAGAGGCCCAGCCCCTGGTCCCCTAGGAGCCTTCAGTTAGCGGAGGCCTGGGGGACACTCGGGGGCTCGCACGGTGCGCGGAGCCGAGGCCGCAGCTCCCTCGCTCCCTGTGCAGGTCCTCTCGCCTCTCTCGGACTCCATCCTGGCTGAGAAGACCGTGACGGTCCTGGAGGACCGCGTCACCATCGCGGACCTGGGCGTGCAGCTGGTGGCCGGCCTGTCTCTTTCTCTGCAGCCTCACCGGGCCGACCGGCGGGCCCTCGTCGCCACGGCGGCCGCCCAGGACGTCCTCCAGGCCCCGCGGCAGGTGAGACCCCGGAGCCCTTCCGTCCCCGGTCAGCTGAGCCCACCTCTCTGTCCCCACGTCCCGCGGGGAGGCCGGTGCAGCCCTCGGAGCTGGGACTGTGGGTTCTCAGAGCTTCCGCCCGACGGCGGCTCCGTCTCCAAGTGCTCAGGGCCTCAGACACGTTCCTCGTGTGTACGTTTCTGTTTTGTTGTTGTTGTTAATCTTCACCGGAGGATATTGTTTCCATTGATTTTTATTTTTTTATTTTATTTTTTAAAAAAATATATCTTTATTGATTTCAGAGAGAGGAAAGGAGACGGGAAGAGAGAGAGAGAAACATCAATGAGAGAGTCATTGATCGAGCCCACAACCCGGGCATGTGCCCTGACCGGGAATCGAACCCTGAGCGCCTGGATCCTAGGTCGACGCTCAACCGCTGAGCCACCCCGGCCGGGCTCCATTGATTTTTAGAGAGAGTGGAAGGGAGGGGGGGAGAGAGACATCGATGGGCTGCCTCCTGCCTGCGCCCTGACTGGGGCCAGGGATCCAGCCTGCACCCCAGGTACGTGCCCTTGACCGGCAATCGAACCTGAGACCCTTTGGTGCTCGGGCCGGCGTTCTAACCACTGAGCCACACCGGCCAGGGCTCCCTCCATCCTTAAACTGTCGCACGTCAGTGACGAGGGCACAGGGCCCTCTGAGCGTCGTGGGGCGTCCTCCCCGGGCTCCTCCGGCCAACGCCTGCGTTTCGCTCCATCCGCGTCGGCCTGATGAAGGTCGAGGGGATTCTATCTGCGGCAGGAGGCAGGCGCGTTGCACCCGAGTGCGATTCGGGTGAATCGCCTGATCTTTCCGGGCGTTTTCAGAAAGGCCCGCGTCCAGGCCTGTGGTAGGTCAGGGCTCACTCCTGCACTTGCTCGCGTTGAGCGCGTGGTCCTGGTGTCGGCGGGCGATCGTCTGCGACCGAACCCGCTTCCGGGCCTGCCGAGAGCTGTTCAAAGCGACAGAAACGTAGTCGTTTTCTCGCTTAGCGTGTGTTTATGGGACGTTGCGCAGGAAACCGCATTGGCGTTGGCAGGTCCTGAGGAGCCCGATGATAACGCGGCGCTCTGGTCTCGTTTCCCGCAGGAGGCCATCGTCAGCTCTTGGATTCTGTTCAGCGACGGTTCGGTGACGCCCTTGGACATTTACGACCCCAAGGACTTCTCCGTCTCGGTCTCCTCGCTGGATGAGATGGTGGCGTCTGTCCAGGCCAACCTTCAGCCCAAGTGGCCGGTCGTGGCTGCGGAGGGCGAGGGCCAGGGGCCCTTGATCAAACTCGAGGTGATGATCAGCGAAGCTTGTCAGAAGACCAAGAGGAAGAGCGTCCTGGCCGTGGGCAAGGGAAACGTCAAGGTCAAGTTCGACCCAAGCCTTGACCTACGCCGAGGAGGCGCCAACGACATCGAGGGCGCCAGCCGGGGGTACAGAGGCCACCTGAGCAACTCCGTGGAGCGCGAGGGAAGCCGCGAGAGGGCGGTTCAGGAGTGGCCCCAGCGCGGCGCCCCCGTGGGCCGAGGCGGAGGCGCGGACGCGAGCACAACCCCGCCGTCCCCCGCAGAGAGGAAGGACGGGAGACCACTCAGGGGCGGCGGCCCCGACGCCTTCACCAGCTCCCCGGCTCAGGGGGGGTCGCCCGGGCCCAGCCACCCCGGCGAGCTCGCGGCCGCCCCCCGGGGGCTCACCGACCTGGAGATCGGCATGTACGCGCTGCTCTGCGTCTTCTGCCTGGCCATCCTGGTCTTCCTGATCAACTGCGTGGCGTTCGCCTGGAAGTACCGGCACAAGAGGCTGGCGGGGAGCGAGCAGGGCGGCATCCCGCACTCGCACGACTGGGTGTGGCTGGGGAACGAGGTGGAGCTGCTGGAGAACCCGGCGGACCTCACCCTGCCCTCGGAGGACTGCCCCGCGGCGCTGGACCCGGCCCTGCCCTTCGAGGAGAGGAACTTCCTGCTCAACGGCGGCTCCCGGGCCGCGTTCCGCGGCCAGCTGCTCCGGCCCCCGGACTACGTCTACGAGAAGGAAATGAAAGACCGGCCTCTGACGCCCTCGGGCCCCAAGAGGAAGCGGGTGAAGTTCACGTCCTACACCACCATCCTCCCCGAGGACGGCGGCCCCTACACCAACGCCATCCTGTTCGACGGCGACGAGGGCATCCAGTGGGTGTGCGAGGACGCGGGGCTGGCGGCCGAGCAGGACTTCAGGGACTACGTGGAGCGACTGCAGGACGCGATGTGAACTCCTTTCTGACGTTTGTAGTCACCTTTATGCCTTCTGTTTTTCGCAAAGTGGGGCGGTGAGGTCGACGAGCGATGGGGGGGGCGACGTGGCCAAGCTGAGTTCGGGGGGGCCCGGGGGGCGGGGGGATCCCACCCCGAGCAGGTGCAGGGGCCTGGAGAACCGGGAAGCGTCTCGGGGGAGAGGCGAAGGCGGGTTTTCCCCGCGGCCCCGTCCAGCTCCGTCCCGGGAGGGTGAACCCGGCCCGCAGGCAGTTCGCCGCCTCGTGACCCGCGGGGCCCTGTGGACGCGGAAAAGACCCGGCGTTGGTTTTCCTGCTCCCAGACCTTCTAAAGCACAGCGGACCTTCCTCGCCCTTGGCCTGGGCCCGGACACACGTGAAGGATGCTGAATGTGGCCGCCCTTCGCGACCCGCGCCGCGCGTTCGTGTTTCTTTGCGTTCGCAGCCGCTTCCTCCGGCCTCTGCTGTTCTTTTGGAAACACGGAGAAAGGCCCTTTTGTTTTCCTCTGAGATCTGTTCCATCTTCATGTGTTTCACTCACGCCACGCGCTTCCCTGTCCCGGTTGCGTCTTGTTTTCGGGTTCTCTCCCCGTCCCCCACGCTTTGTGCCCTTCGGGGCGACCTCGCAGGAGCGGCCCCTCGCTCGTCCCGCCTCCCTTTCGTCGTCGAAGTTTCTTGTATCGGACAGGGACCCGGGACTCTGCCTAAAATAGGGCTCTACTGTGCGGGGGGGG